GTCTAGCTCCAGAACCCAGCTCAGCTCTGAAACAAAATCCTATTCTAGAGCTCAGACCAGCAGCGAGACCAAACTCCACTCTGGAACCCAGCTCACCTCTGAGACAAAGCCCTGTTCTAGAACTCAGGCCAGCTCTGAGACCAAGCCTGTCTTTAGAACTCAGCTCATTTCCAAGACCAAGTCCTCTTCTAGAATTCAGGCCATTTCTGCGATTGAGGCCAGCTCTAGAATCCAGCCAAGCCCTGACAGCAGACCAAGTTCTGGAACCCAGACAGATTTTAAGATTCTGCTCAGTTTGGAGATTAATCGCAGTTCTGGAACCCAGTCCAGCTCTCATCCTAAGCCTGGCCATAAAACTCCACCTGTCTCTATGACTCCAGACACCTGCGTGGCCTGGCCCTACCTGGACACTCAGGCCAGCCTGGGAGCACCACTGAGTTTTGGACCCCAGGTGAGACTCCAGAATCAGCCCAGCCATAGAATTCCAGCCAGCTCAGGATTAAAGGTCAGCTCTCAGACAAAACCCCATCCAAGAACTCAGGCCAGCCCAGAAAGCTGGCCCCATGCTGTTGCTCAATCCAGAATCAAACCTCAACTCTACTCTAAAACCCATTTGCTTCCAACTACCTGCCCCCGTCCTGAGTCCAAGTCCAGCTCTGAGACTGAGCTCAGCTCTAGAACCCAGCCTATGGCTACAACGAGGCCCGTCTCCAGAATCCAGACCAGCACTGGCTCGCCCCCTGCCCCTGAGCCCAGCTCAGGAATGCGGCAATGGGCCAAGCCCCAGTCTCCCTGCAGAGCACGGTCCAGCTCTGGGACCCAGACAGACCACACAGCCTGGCCCAGCTCCAGAGCTCAACCCAGCCCCAGAACTCAGCTCAGTTCTGGAGCACAGCCTGGTTCTAAAAACCCAGCCGGCTCTGAAATGCAGGCAGCAGCTGGGACCCAGCTGAGTTCTAGAACCCAGCTAAGTGCCGGAGTCCAGTGTAGTCCTGTGGCGACCCAGTGCAGTGCAGCCCTGGGGCTGGGCCCCAGGACCCTGTCCAGTTCTGGGAGCCTGCCAGGCTCTAGGACCCAGCACCATCCAAGAGCTCCACCAACCTCTGGGACTCCACTGGGCTCCAAACCCCTGCCAAGCACTAGATCCCAGCTCAAGGCCACACCCCAGGCCACCTCTGGTCCTCAGGGGGACTTAGGGAAGCTAACCGGCTCTGGAGCACAGTCTGGCTCAGGGACTCGGGCAAGGGCAAGGGTGCAGCCCAACTCTGAACCCCCTTCAGCTCCAGCACTCCCCGCGGCTCTGGAGCTGCGCCCAGCTCTGAGACTCTGCCCAGCCCCCGAACCCAGGCCAGTCCCCGATTCAGTTCAGCTCAAAAGCCCAGCTTTAGAGCCCCCTCAGCTCAGAGGCCCAGCTGGCTCCACCCACCGACCCCCCCCTTGACCCTGGAGTTGAGCCGGCCCAGCACCCCCCCCCCCAGGCTCATTGCCCAAAGCCCAACTCCAGCCCCTGGGCCTCTGCCTCAGCCCAGGATCTGGGACATAAACCCCCAGGAGCCAGCCCTTTCCCCCAAGCCCCAGTTGGGGCCCCAGATGTCCACCCGACCCACCATATCTGCCACTTCAAGTCCTGTCCCCAGGGTGGTCCTGTGAGTGCTCAGACCCTGCGCCCCTCCCCCATGCTCAGGGATTCAGGGTCCCTCCCCCGCGATGGGTTGCTCGGGCACGACACCGTCCTGGCTCCTGCAGCCTCCTCCTCACCTGTCCCTCCCAGCCTGCCCCCCAGACGAGGCAGGTGACCTCCTTTCCCAGCAGGTGTGGAGGGGGTAGAATGGGGCTTGGGTTTCAGGTGCCTGGAGGTGTAAGCGGACCCGGCGGGAGGGGGAGGCGGCTGCTCTCCGCACCCTCAGGGCTCCTGGCAATAAAGGCACTTGGCACCCTGCAGCAGCCCTGTGTCACTGTGGGGCGGCCAAGGAGAGGGGGCTGGGCAGGGGTGGTCAGCGAATGCCCGCGAGCGCCTGCTGTGTGCCGTGCACTTATTGAGCTCTTCCTGGGCCTCCGAGTACCTGCCCGGGTCCCAGTGCTGTGCGGGGGCCCTGCGCCCTGCGCCCTGCGAGTGCCTGCTGCGGGGACTGGAGGAAGCTTCCGCACCCTCTTGCCGCCGTCCCTCCCTCTCTTCTCCCGACGGTAACCGGGGAGGCCCGACAGCCCCGCGCCCTTCCTGGCCGAGGCCGGCCGCGTCCGGAAGCGAAGGAACACACAGCGGGGCCCAGAGATATATTTCGGCATGAAGGGGGGACCCCGCTCACACCCCAGGCAGAGCCTCCTCAGGCGGGGTTCGGAGGGAGCCCCCGGCTCCCCAGCGTCCAGGTCCTCGGCCGCGGCTTCCCGCACCTCCGCGGGGTTTCGGGAAGGGGAGCCCCGCGTTCTGAGCTCCCCCAGCCTTGCTCCTGGCTCCTCCTGGGGCGCAGCAGGGTCCGCGGCTGGGGAGAAGGGGACCTCAGAGAGGGCGGCCCCTGCTCCCGCGGCTCTGGTCCGCGGTCCACTCAGAGCCCCAGCTCCTGGGCCGTGGGGACAGGCGGGTGCCAGGTGACAGGGGACGGGATTATGGGGGCCGGTCCTTCCTGGCCCTACTGCAGCCTGGCGCCCTGGGCCGGCGGCGGCCGCAGGGAGAGGGACCTGGGCCGGGCGCTGAGGCGCGGGTGCAGGCGGCGCAGCACTGCGCGGCGGAACAGGATGTACACCCAGGGGTCCAGGATCTGGTTCCAGGTGGCCACGCGCAGGTAGATGAGCAGCTGCTGCTCCGTGGCCCGGGACAGCTGCCCGGCCGGGCTCATGGCTGGCGGGTTCTGCAGCACCGTCTGGGCGATGAAGACCTGCGAGGGCCAGGGCGTTAGCGGGCAGCAGGCTCTGAAATGCACCTTGCTGGGTCACCTGGGGGGAACTGCCTGACCTCTCTGAGCTGCTGCTGCTGTGTCCATGAAATAGCACCTGGGCGAGAGCAGGCACCAAAACCACACTGCCGCCCTCCCCCTCCGCGGTCTGAGCTCCCCGCACACTGGGACGCACTGCTGTATTAACTCACATCTCATATAAGTTTTTGTGTCCTGGGGATGGGGCCCAGGGGCGACAACCGCTGAGCCACACCCTCAAACCTTTTCAATTTTTATTTGAGACACGGTCTCACGAAGCTGCTGAGGATCTTGCTAAGTTGCAGAGGCTGACTTCGAACTTGCAATCCTCCTGCCTCAGCCTCCTGAGTCGCTGAGATTACAGGTGTGTGCCTCCTCGCCCGCCAAAAGACAGTTATTTTACACATGCTATATTTCTGCATGCTGTACTTGGTTATTTCAACACATTTCATTAAATATGAAGTTTATACTCATAAAATGTAGGAGAGATGTTTTAATAAATTACTGTACAACATGATTTTTGAGAGTGACATAATGATTACATTGTGAATGTAATTACTAGTGATAATAACTCAAGGCAGGCATATAATTACATAACATGAGGAATCATGCATCATGTCGTCAAACCTTGTATAATAATGTGACTATTAGTTTTGATAACAAAGTAAATATAATTGTCTTCTATTGTATAATTACAACTAATTATAATTAAAATGTATAGTATGCTAAAATAATTCGTATTTTATTAAAATGTACTGCTACATTAAAATTGTTTCCTAAGCATCTACTGTGTGCTGGGTGCCGCTGGGGACAGAGCAGAGGGAAGGCTGACCCCAGTCCCACCCTCACCAACCACAGCGGGGTCCCTGAAGCTGGGCTCCTCCAGCCTGTCCTCCCCGCAGCCGCCAGAGGGCGCCTGCGAGCACCTGACTCGGGCCCCTCCTCTGCGCACAGCCCTCCAGGGCTCCCACCTCCCACCTCCCAAGCCCCCGTCCTGCCTGCTGCCGCTGGCCCTGCACCACCTGCCCTGCCCCATCCCTGTTTCCTCCCACCGTCTCTCTGCTGCGCCCACATGGGCTCCTCACTGAGCTCGCAACATGCCAAGCTGCTCCCCAGGGCCTTTGCTGGGCTGGACCCTCCGCCTGGAGTGCTCGCTCCTCCCCAGCTCTCCACACAGTTCACCCCTAAGGTCTGCAGTAGCCTCCTCCTCCCCGACCTCGGCCTCTAGGCTCCTGCAGCCTCCCTCCTTCCTCCCTCCCTCCCTCTCTCCTTCCTTTTTTTTAAACTGGGGATTTGACTCCGGGATGCTCTAACCTTGAGCCACCTCCCCAGCCCTTGGATGTTGGAGTCCTCTGGCCTCGGCCTCCCCAGGCATCACAGGCACGCCCCTCCACGCCCAGAACGGGCCCTGCAGTGTTCCCAGCCCTGGGGGGTGGGCTCTGAAGGATGCCTAGGAGTCCTAGGAGTTCGCCTACTGGGCAAACCAGGGCGGCTCTGGGCAGTCAGTTTTGCCCTCCGTGGTGTCTGCCCATGGACCGGCTGGTGCGCGGTCAGTGCTCAGTGAGCGTCTGCCGACACACGGAAAGGTGGACATCTTGTCCCTTTTGTGTGTGGGGTGATGGGCGGATCCCAGGGCCTCACGTGCCCACCTGTGCCTGGTAAGTGTCCACCAGGATCAGTGGCCCAAGGTGCCATCTGTTAACCCCTCCCCCCTCAGAGGGCACCGCCAGACTGAGGCAGTAAGCCCCTGGGCAAGGCTGGGGCCCGAGCATGGCTCTGACCTGGGCTTCTCGTCTTGACTCCCGTGGATATGGGAAAAAAAGAGCACCCAAATGGCAGACGACAGCCGTTCAATGATAGGACCTCAGACCTTCGGGGCATGAAGAGCGGCCTGGGCATTCCTGCCACCAGCCAAGCTCCCCGACCCAGGGACCATCTGGCCGGGCTGAGGTAGCATCAGGAAGTGAGGTTGGTCTGGTTCCACCCAGGATGCTTCCCCAGTTTCATCTGGAAGGTGAACTCCCACTCATCCTCCTGAGCCTGAGCTTTGAAGCCCTCCCCTGGGACGGCGACCCCGGGGCCCGGTGGCAGCCTGGAACCCCCCAGGCTCTCAGTGCCCGGAGGCTCCCCTGCCCAGTCACCAAGGCGCATGGAGCCTCCCCGGAGCCCTGCCCACACTCACCAGCAGCGGCATCCAGCAGACGCTGGCCACCAGCATGATGCCCAGGAGCTGGACCATCATCTCCACCTCGCAGTCGCGCGGGCGCTGCTGGGCGGCCTCCTGCCCGTGGTAGACGTGGCACAGGGTGGCCACGCTGATGGTGTTGAGCACGAAGGACAGCCCGACCGACAGGCCGCCGAGGAGCGCGAACAGCAGCCCGAAGGCCGCGTCGCCGAGCTGTGGCCCCAGCGTGAGGAAGCACCAGGAGCCGGGGTACTGCACGGTGTAGTGGCCCACGCCCAGCAGGGGCAGCAGCCCCAGCGCCAGCGCCGCCGCCCACACCAGCCCCACGGTGGCCCAGGCGCGGCGCTGCGAGGCGGCCGCCGAGCGGGAGAAGGGCCGGGTGATGCCCAGGTAGCGCTCAGAGGCCATGGCGGCCCCCAGCAACAAGGGACACAGGCCAAAGAAGACCATGGCCACGCCCATGAAGTGGCAGAGGCCGCAGCCGGGGTCCGCCGTGCGCCAGTCGAAGAGCGCGGCGTGCCGGGACACCACCAGGACCCCAGTGACCAGAAGCCCCAGGAAGTCGGTGAGGACCAGGCCGCCCAGCAGGGTGAGGAAGGGGGACCGCGGGCAGCAGCTGCCCTGCCGCGCGCCGGCCAGCACGCTCAGCGCCAGCAGGTTGGAGGCCAGGCCCACGGCGCAGAAGGAGGCCGCGAACCAGGGAGAGGCCACCAGGCGACGCTCCTCGGGCGTGGCATTTGTGGGGCGGAAGCAGGGCCCCAGGACACTGCTGTTGGACCACATGGCGCTGGAGYCCCGTCACCACCCCATCAGGTGCAGGCTGCAGGCGGTCGGCCGGCACTGGGGAGGCACACCTGGGAGGCAGAGAGGGGGAGGCTGCACTCGTCCTGCGCGGTCTCCCACGTGACTGTGGCGAACTCCCGCACAACCCTCCACACCCCAGGGCTCGCGCCCCTCCGCCCTCCCTTCCCACAGGTGYGTCCTCATCCGCTTGGACCGCCCCYGGGAGGCCAYCGCGACKCCCACTCCAGTCTCACCGTCTCCAGGGCTCTCGAGGGCACAGGCCGGGGCCCCTCCTCAGGGGACACCAGGGGACGTTTTCWGCGTCCTAGAGAAAGGCAGGGAGCCGGGGTCGAACTCCAGCCCCGGTTCCCACCATGGCGCCGGGGTGGGGGTGGGGGTGGGGGCTCCCCTCCTGAGCCTCAGACTCGGCCTCCCGCACAGCCAAGCTGGACGTGGCTGACTCCAGCGCACGCTTCAGTCACAGAGATGGAGACCCGGCCTCCAGCCGCAGCTAGAGTGCCAGCCGGCTGCTAGGCGTCCTGGGAAGGCCCGTGGGGTCCCTCCCCTGGGTGTGCTGGGACAGGGGCGTGTCGCTGCCTGGCCACACTCTCCTGGGACGCGTAGTGTGAGGCCGCTTTCCGTTTCTGTGCGTCACTTTTATAATAAGAAATAACCCTAAAGTTCCAGTTCCATGTGGGAACAAAGAGCCGGCTTGGAGGGCAGGGACCCACCATGAGGGCAGTGGGCAYCAGGGTGGGGCTCAGACACCACGTGGGCTGCGGGTCGGCCACACCGCGAAACCAAGGCCAGATGTGGATGAGCGGAAGCAGCTCCATCAACAGCCAGCGCCCTGCAGGCCAGGGCTTGGAGGCCGAGGCCCGAGGACCAGGAGTGCGCAGCCGGCCTCAGCAACTCAGTGAGGCCCTGTCTCAAAATAAAACCAGGCGGCTTGGTGGTTAAGTGCCCCTGGGTTCAAACCCTGGTACCAAAAAGAAAGAAAGAAAAGAAAAAAAGAAAAAGAAAACTCGGCTGCTGGTTCCTGAGGACACCACAGAGGACAAGAGAGTYCAGAACGGCCCTGAGTTGCCCGCCGTCCCCAGGGGCCAGGGCTGGACCTGCCCTGGGCAGAGCAGTGAGGGGCACAGGCGGCTCCGGGGATCTGGCAGAGGTGGCCACTTTGCTGGAGCTGATCTGAGATTGACCAGGGCTGCTGACCAGCAGCAGGGCCTGTGGACAGCAGTCGCCTCAAGCTGCCCAGGCCAGTTCTCATGCCCTCTCCCTGCCTGGACTCCACATCCCTGCTTGGAGCCTCCTTTTCCCTTCCTGTAAAGGGGGCTGAGGGGCCCGGGGCTTCAGGGCACAGGCGCACACTCCTGCAGCCTGGGAGGTGGTGGCCGTCTGGGGCTCACTGCTGGAGGCTGAGCGGGCGGCCACTGGCCTCGCCCCAGCTCATCCTAGACCCGGCATGTTCCTCTGGCTCGGTTCCTCCCTGCGGGGCCTTATGAATCACCCAGCTCCTGACGGCCACCATGGGCGTCCCTCCTGCCCAGAGCCGGGGCCTCTGCCACCGGGTGGGTGGCCCCCAGCTGGGGAACTGAGGCCCAGAGCCACAGGACACTCCCTGAGACCACYGCGAGGGAGGCCCTGTGCTGTGGCGGGCAGGAGTGCGCTGCTGCTCAGATGGGGACTGGGGCTGGGGGTCCCCTGGGACCCCCCAGCCGCCATGTGCTTTTCTGAACGAACGTTGCCTTTGGCCACGGCCCAGCCCAGCCTCTGCCTGGAGTGGCCGCAGGTCCTGTGCCTCCTGCCCCCCCACTCTGGGGCTGCAGGAGCCCCGCTCACCCTGGACACACACCCAGGCGCCTCACCCTGCTGGTGGCTGGAGCCGGGCCTGACCCCAAGCCCTTGGCCTGGGGGAGGGGGAGAACCGTCAGGGAGGCCCCCTCCGCCCTCCCTGTCCTGGGCTCAGGTAAAATGGCTGGCGGGCCAGGAGGCGGACCTGCCGTGGCCTCCTGCGTCAGCCAGGATGGGCAGCAGGGGRCCCCATCTGTGGAGGACCCACTGAGCTGTGTGGCCCTGGGAGAAGCTCCTCCCTCTACCTGCGGAGGGGCGGGGCCTGAGCGCCTGCAGCCAGAGTTCCTGGAGCTGCGGACCCGGGTTCTGGAGTTCTCCTGGGCCCCGGTTCTGGAGTCCAGAGGCCTCGGGGTTCCTGAATCTGAGGGCTGAGCTTCTGGAACTCGGATGGGCGCGTGGCCGTCCCGGGTTCCTGGACTCTCTCAGCTCCTGTTCCTCCTGGGGACAGATCCAGAGCCCTGCTGCAGGCGTCCGGGTCGGCCGGCGCCGCCTCTGCTCCCGGTGGAATGTGCCTTCTGGTTCCCAGCCCCAGGCCCCTCCTCTGCTGGGCCCCCTCCCGCCAGCGTCACCTCGCAGCCATGGCCTCAGCCTGGCCCTCTGCCTCTCCACACCCAGCCCCCGCCCTGGCCCCACATCCTGACCAGCCCTGCTGCTCCTCAGTCCCCTCCAGGCCCCTCCAAGCTGGGGCGCAGCCCAGCCTGGCCTCCGCCTTCCCCTCTGTGAAATGGGGGTGGACAGCTCGTTCCTGCAGGCATCTGGCTGCTCTGCCCCAGGGCATCTGCCACCGGCCTCTGCCCTGCCTGCCCTGGGGGCGGCCGGCAGCAGTGCAGTGACCTTGACCTCTCAGGACTCCTGAAGCCTCTGACCATGCCCCAGGCCAGTGCCTTCAGCGGGACCTGCAGACCTGGCCAGCGCTGGCCCCCCCACTGGACTCTGATCCAAATGCCCACAGCGTGCACCCCGCACACCCTCGCCCCTCCCAGGGAGTCAGCACTGACGGGTGCCTGACACGGGAACACGCAGGTGCTGCCCGCCTCCCCTCGCCACAAAGCACAGCTTCCGGGAGTCTTTCCTGTTTGTGACACCAGTAGGCCCCCCATGTGGAYGGAGGGTGTTGCAGGGCTTCCAGAGCAGTTACACTCGGTGGGGAGCCTCACTGGGTCCCCCCTCATGTGGCCCCCTCTGAGCCTCAGTTTCCTCATCTACCCAGTGGGGTTCCCCCACCACAGCACGAGGGGTCGGGTGTGGACCTGGTGCTACYGGAGCCCAACACTAGAGTGATCACACCAAGGGCACACGTGCCCCAGCACTCGGTGGAGACGTAGACAGCTGGACACACAGCTCAGCAGACAGACCTGCACACAGGAAGACACACACACAGAGCACTGAGACAACCAGCCGAGCCTAAGGGGACAGGGACAGGCAGGCACACAGATGAACAGCAAGCCACTCACCCACGCCCCGGGGCACCCTCCCCAGGCTGGGCACACCAGCAGGCAGCCCTCAGGATGCCCTCTGGCCCTGCCCAGGCCAAGACAGGAGCAGGGCAGGGTGCCAGGCAGGGACATGGGCACCTCGCCAGTGGCCACGCCCACGAGACATACCGGGGGGCCTGCGGCCTCGGCAGACCCCCACCCCGCAGCCCGCGCAGACCTCACCCGGGCGGGGTCCTGGGAGCTGGGGAGCCCGAGTCTGTGCAGGGCGGCCCTCGCGTGGTGCAGGCCCTGCAGTGGGTCGGGCCAGGAGCAGGTCGCGGGCAGCCGGGCGGGGTAGGTGCGGGCCGCTGGGCAGCCTGTGCTCCGGCTCTCGCGTCCTGCCTCCCAGTCTCTGAGTCTCTGTCCTTCGACACTCACCAGCCCTGCCCCCGGCCTCGCTGGCCACGCCCCTCAGGCTCAGCCAAAGGTCGCTGGGGGGCCCCACGCCGCCAGGGACATCCCTGGGGCTGGGGGCGACAGTGGGTTCCGAGGCTGCAGGGGAAGGGGTGCGGAGCCAGGGGCAGGGGTGCCCCTCGGGAGCTGGGCCCGGGTCCCCGGCCGTCTGGGGGGGCCTTCCCCGSGGCTCCCGCGTTTTGTTTTTCAAGGTCTGAGCCCCGAGGGGGCGGGGCGAGCGGCTCCCCAGAGGCCCAGACCTGGGGCGGGGGCCCGCTGGCCAACCAGGCGGGATCGGGTCTGATACACAGTAGGTGCCTAATGTTTATCGTTTTGAGGCCCCTATGGTGGTGCATGTGGAAGACGCAGGGTCCAACTAGACCCTGGATGAGAAAGGCCCCTGGGAGGAGCAGCAGGGGATCCCGGGGTGGGGGCTGGCCTTCCAGAGGTGGCTGTGGTGACAGGAGGGAGGCCGGGAGGCCCAGGCCGGGCGGGCGGCTCCCCAGGCCACGGCTTGTCCCCAGCCCCCAGCCCACTCCAGGATGTGGAGGCAGGGAGGTCTAGGCCGGGCATGGCACTGGAGAGGGCGGGGTCGGACCAGCCCTGGAGAGGTCCTGGCAGAGAGGCGGCCTTGCAGGGGTCCTCCCTGCCCAGGGTGCCTGCCCTGTGGTGAGGGGCCCACAGCCTGGCTCACCCTTTGAGGCCGTGCACAGGGAGGGGCTGGGCTGGGGGTGCCGGGCCTCCTTGGCCTGAGCTTGCCCAGAGCTTGGCCCCAATAGGGTCTGGCGTGTCAGGATGACCATCCGGGCCCTGACCCTGCTCCACCCGTCCCCTAGGCTGCCAGGAGGAGGATGGGCTCCTGCCTGGCCTCCCCTCAGTGTCCGGAAGCCCCTTCCCCGCCCACCGCTCTTCCTGCCTCCGGCGCCAGCCCACACTGAGGGCCTCTGGAGGGCTGAGCCCGGTCGCATCCCACTGCCCGCGTCTCTGGGTCTTCTTAAGCCTGGCTCCTCTCTGGCTGGCAGGGAGACCCCTCCACGCCCAGGCACCCGGCAGGCYCCACCCTCTGTAAAGCCCCTCTACCCCGCACTCATGCCCCCCACGAGGTGGGCCTGCCCTTAAGGATTCCCAAGGCTGGACAAGGAGCTGGACTCGGACCCTCCAGCCCTAGGCAAGGCTGGGCCAAGGGACTGAGCAGGGCTGCGGGGTGAGACAGGCACTGTGTGGGAAGGGACGCAGAGACCACCGTGCCTTTGTGAGCTGGGACATGTGGCAGGGGAAGGAGCTGCAGGGCCTGATTTTGGAGGGGGAGAGCAGGAGGCACCATGGGACTGGTCACAGGGAGGGAGACGGGCAGGCAGTGCTCAGCTGCAATCTCAGCAGCTCAGGAGGCTGAGACAGGAGATTAAAAGTTTGAGGCCAGAGCTGGGGTCCTGGCTCAATGGTAGCGCGCTGGCCTAGCATGCGTGAGGCACTGGGATCCATTCTCAGCACCACATAATACAAAAATTGTGTCCCCTAAAAACTAAATAGTTAAAAAAAAGAAATCTAGTGTAAGTTTGAGGCCAGCCTTAGCTACTCTGCAAGGCCCTAAGCAATGTAGTGAGACTGTGTCTCAAAAAATAAAAAGGGCTTGGGTGTGGCTCAGTGGTGGAGCACCCCCGAGTTCAATCCCCAGGACCAAAAAGATGGGGCAGGAAGAGAGAGGGTGAGGGCTGGGGCCCGGGCGGGGATGATGGAAGGCTGAGGGGGCTGTTTTGCTCACTCTTCCTCTGTCCCCAGCCCAGTGATAACTAGGACAATGTCTCCTCTGGAAGAGGCTGGATGGGGGCTGCAGGACACTTCTTTTTTCAGTGCTGGGTTGAACCCAGAGCCTCAAGTGCCCCGGTGAGGAGTGGCAGGGTCTCACCAAGTTGCCCAGACTGGCCTCCAATTTGCCATCCTCCTGCCTCAGTCTCCGGAGGGCTGGGCTGACTGGCGTGGCCACAGCACCTCCTCTCAAGGTGCCTCTGCAAGGTGGGAGTAAGGGAGTGTGTCCGTGTGGCGTATGAGAGGGGTAGACGGGCCCAGAGAGAGGGTGGCCCAGGCCACCTGTGGGACCTGACCCGGGGGTCTGGACTCCCTCCACCTCGGGCTCAGGGCTGGAAAGCTTCTAGCCTTGCTTGGTCCCTACCCACACGCAGGCGCACAGGAGGCTCAGGCGGGAAGAGGAATGGTGGCCTTGGGGCCAGATGGTGGGAACGGAGGCCAGGCTCAGGATGTGCCCCCCGTGGCCACGGCTTCCTGCAGGGAGCAGCTATTCTTAGCCTTGAACATCTCCAAGGGAAGGAAGAGGCTGGGTGGGAGCCGGGGCAGCTGGGTGGGTGCAGGACCGCCCCAGCCCCCCCATCTCCCTGACACACTGCGGGGCCACGTCCCCCGTGGCGCCCCGTGAGGGTCCAGTTCCTTGGCTTGGCTTGCAGCCCCTGTGTCCCTGCCCCAGCTCACCTGTCGCCCTGTCCCCTCAAGGCAGGCCTCRCCCTCTCCTGATGCCACTCCCCCAGGGAGCCCAGTCCTCCAGGGCCTCCTCCTTGGTGCTCCTGTCTCCCTCCAGAGGCCCCCATCCTGGGCCCCCAGGTCAACACCTTGCTAGGACCACAGGTAGGTGTGGCGAAGAGGAACCAGGGCCAAGGACATGGGTGTGCACACCRTAACAGCAGCCCTGGCGGCACCTGCAGTCAGCCACACCATCAGCTCCGTTTCCACTGTGCTCTGCGCTGGGTGACGCAGGCCAGGGATCACCTGATGGATGAGTGACGTCCAGTGGTCCCCACTCTGTACCAGCTCAGCCTGGCATGGAGGGTGCCCCTCTGAGTGTGGGCAGCACAGGGATGGAGCCCCAGSGCCCACGTGCTGGGCTCATGCCCCACCACGTGGCTGCCCAAGCCCTTCTTTACAAAGCAGTCTACGCTGCCCGGTTGGCTTTGAACTTGAGAACCTCCTGCCCCTGCCTCCCAGTGGCCGACTGCAGGTGTAGGCATCCCTGGTCAGATGCACTGGCTGCCCTCAGTGGCCATGCCTGTCATCCCAGCAGCTCAGGAGGCTGAGGCAGGAGGATCACTAGAAGTCCTCCGCACTCCTGGACGTGGCGAACACTTGGGGAGGTGCCCGCACCAGGGGAAGCTGGGCACTACAGCTGCAGCCTGGGCAGCTGGAGGCAGGGCGGGCCTGGCATGCCAGATACCAGGCAGCATCCCTGGTGGGTGCCTGCTCCATGGCAGGCGCTCCCCGTCACAAGAGYGACACAGTCCTGGACATGGCCGAGCATCACCCTCCTGAGAACCCTGGCCTGGACGAGCAGCAGCCTGTGACACTCCTTCCTGGGGCTGCGGGGTGGCCACAGCCGCCCTGGGAAGTGGAGTCAGGAGGCCCAGGGACTAGGCGGGCTCCTCCCAGAAGGGCTGCCGGCTATTTTTAGGCACGGTGGCTGTTTGAACCGCCCTGGTTGTGACACTGCACCATGGCACTCAGATGTCAGAGACAGGGCCCAGCGGGGCGGGGCCCTGAGCCGCTTGGCAGCACTCTGCATCCTGGAGCAGCCTCATCCAGACGCCCTGGGCAACAGGCCACGGCGAGAGAAGGAAAGCAAGAGTTCTTCCCACCTAAGAAAAYCTTTTTAGAAAACAAAGTAAAATCATCTCCAGGTCAAAGAGGTGGCAGGCGGGTCCTGGGGGAGCAGGCCCCTGGGCTGCTGGGGAGGAAGGTTAGGAGTGGGGCTGGGGCTCCCGTCTGGCCCTCAACCACCTGAGAAAAGGGGATGCAGGGGGCACCTCCTGGGGGACTGTGTGGCTGAGAAATGACACTTCCCAAGCGGGCAGAAACCCACTGAAGCCCTGGACCAGGTCATAGGGTCGTCTCCCAGGTGGTGGCCAATGTGTCCCATCACAGGGGTGGGGACTGATCCCACAGCTCCCGGGGCCCTGGCTKCACAGCCTGGTCTCTTCTGGAAAGTGTGTCGGTCCAGCCTCTGCTGTTGCCACCCTGAGCATGGCCAGCCTGTAGCAGGGAGGGTCCTGGAAGAACCTGTCCAGGGGCTGACCGGTCCTGTGACAGCTTGGTGGCTGGACCTTGCCCCCCATCTCCCAGGACCAGCAAGCACCCCCATGTCTGGGCCCCTCTCCTGCTTCCTGCCCAGCTGGCCACCCTCTGCACTTTCCCAGGGGGCAGGCTGGCCTCGGGCCCCATGCAGCCTCCTGGACGGGGAGGTCCGAGTGACYGCTGCCAGGGTCCCTGTGGCTCCGAACACCTCAGGACACTGCCGGGTCAGCTTGTCCTGTTGTCTCCTCAGCTCTGAAGCAGATTTTGTGGCGACCCACTTCACAAACGGGAAACAGGGCCAGGGGCAGGTCCGCCTTGGTCCCTCAGCCTCCCGCCGCCCCCGGGCAGGGCCCTGCCGTCACCGCCGGTAGCGGTAGCGCTTGAAGTGGAACCAGAGCTGGAAGATGCCGTTGGCGAACTGACAGCGGAAGCCGTGGCGGTGCGAGTACTCCCACTCGCGGTTGACGATCTTGAAGGCGATGTCCTCGTAGGGCGGCCCGGCGTGGAAGCGCAGGATGGCGAAGTCGCGGTTGTCGGCGCAGGCCTCCAGGAAGTACTCGGGCGTGGAGCGCTTGTCGATGAGGTCGGGGTAGAAGATGTTGAACTTGTAGCCCTGCACGATCTTGGGCGGCGGGTTGTCGAAGTCGTAGTGCGTCTGGTTGTACTTGTTCCACTCGAAGCCCGTGTGCACGCGGTTGAAGAAGCGCGGCTTGCGCGGCCGGTACTTGTCGGCCCACAGGTAGGCCCTGCCGGTCAGCGGCATCTCCACGCTGAACTGCGCCTCGTCCTGGCCCATGCCCTCCTTGGCCCGCCGGAAGAAGATGTCCTCCGCGCTCTCGCTGGCGTCTCCTGCAGGCGGGGGCGGGGGCGGCGTCGCCAGGGCTCAGCTTCCCGTCCCACGTTCCCTCCCCCTCTGGGCTGCCAGCCCTGCGCCCACCTGTGACCTGGAGCTGCTGGCGCGACAGCTGTAGGCGCTGCAGGTCCTCGTCGGGCTCCAGAACGTGCGCGTCCAGCGGCAGCTCGTGCGCCGTGAGCAGGCGCGGGCTGTACCTGCCCGCGTCGTAGTCGTCCAGGCTCTGCTGGATCAGGTCCTCCTCCATGAGCACCGCCTCGCCGTCGCCCTCGCCCTCCGCAGGCGCCGCKGCGTCCCCCTCGGGCTCGGTGGGCCCGCCCTCCAAGGAGGGCCCGGGCGGCGTGGGGGCTGGCTCCTCGGGCTCCAGGCTGCAGAGAGCCCAGGGTGAGCCCTGCACCCGCCCGCCCCCGCCTCGCCCCCGCCCCCGCCCGCGCCCACCTGTGGCTGGGGGACGGGGGCTCCTGCTTCAGGATGGGGAACAGGGGCCCGCTCTCCACGCCCTGCTCTTGTTTCAGCTTGTACAGCTTCTGCCGCAGCACGTCCTGGTGGCGCTCCCGGAGCCTGTGATAGAGTGGGCAGCCGGGCTGAGGGGACGCCCTGTCCTTGCACCCTCTGACCGGCTCCCAACCCTGCCTCTCTTCCCAGGRATGGAGGCTGAGAGCCTGCAACCCCAAGACAAGGCTTTCGGCCATAAGGATCCATGGCAGTCGGTGGGGGGTGGGGCAGGGAAGGCGCACGTCCCTGTCCTAGGGCATACAAAAGGGGTAAGAACTGAAAGGCCAAATCTGGGACTGGTCAGAAGTAGGGCCCCGCCTGTCATCCCAGCAGCTCAGGAGGCTGTGGCAGGAGGATCATGAGTTCAAAGCCAGCCTCAGCAATAGCGAGGCCCTAAGAAACTGAGTGAGACCCTGTGTCTAAATAAATTACAAAGTAAGGCTGGGGATGTGGCCCTGAGTCCAGTACCAAAAAAAAAAAAAGAAGTGGGGGCCCAGTGGGACCCTGATCAGACACGTCGTATTTGGAGGCGTTTACACAATGATGATGGCAGACAGCACAGGGACCAGAGTTGTGTTTACAAGCTGCTGCCAAGCACGCTGGGAATCCGTACACAGCTGCGGAGGCCAGAGGCCAGCGGCCGGCAGGCTGCGGGGCCTGTGGAAGGCAGGCAGGGACAGCCAGCCCAGGGCTTCCTGTGATGCCTGACACCAGGGAGACAAGGCACTGGTGGYTGGAGCTGGTCAGAACTTGTTAAAGGCCAGAGACAGAGCTGGGCCAGGTGGGGGTCAGAGGCTGACTCCTGGGGGTTGTGGCCCCAGAGTCACCTTCCTGTAGGGCCCAGGTCTGCAGTGGTTCCCAGCAAGGTCCTGAGAGGGGACAAGGTGGTTGCGCTCACCTGGCCCTGGCCATGTGGGCACGCAGCTGCTGCAGCAGGCTCTCCCAGTAGCCCATGTCCAGGTTGGGCCCGCCGGCCCGGATCTTACCCTCGATGCCCTGGAAGATGACTTGCAGCTGGCTGTACGTCTTCCCCTTGAACACCGACTGCACGTCAGAGCTGACGGAGGCATTGACCCCCTCCCGGCGCTCCCCTGCAGTGGGTGAGGCAGGGCTGCTCAGCAGGCCGGCCCTGGCCCTGCCTCTGCCTCGGCCCAGCCTTCCCTCCGCCTTCCCTCCTCCGAGCCTCACTACTCCCATCCTAGCCAGATTCCACCCCAGAATAAGGCTGGAGACAGACAGACGTGGAGCGCAGTCTTGAGTTCTGGCCCTGGGGCCTCTGAATGGTGAGTAGGGGAGGCTAGGCTGTGGATCTTGATCCCACCCAGGTGAGCGACACTGAGTTTGGGGACCTTAGCCTGAGTACTGATGGCTCCGGTTTGCAGACTTCCTTCGACACACCCTCCAGGACCACATGGAGGCTGGGCCCGGCAGCCAGACTCCAGATTATGGCTTTGCCAGTTCTAGCTGTGTGACCCTGTGTGACCCTCTCTCGGTCTTACTCCCCCCCTAGAAAAGTCTTATGGATGACACTGCACCCTGGCAGGGAGAGCCACCCACGACATATGAGCCCCCTATTCCACATGAAGCCTGTCAACCATCTACCACAGGCTGGGGCCAGGTACAGTCCCTCCTCACCAGCAGGAAGCAGCAAGGTGCTGCCAAGACCAGAGYCCCACCTGCCCCCAGGTCCCCGAAGTCCTGTGCACAGTGGCCTCCCAGGGGCGTCCTCTTGGCCTCAGGCACGCACAGGCTCTGCTGTCTGCGACAGGGCACCCCACGTCTGCCTCCCCAGGTCCCCATGTGCGCTTATCGGGGGCCTTTCCTGCCTGCCAGGACCAAGGTGGCCTCCTGTAGCAGTGCTCCACAGCTCTCTGCACCATGCCAGGTGGAGCCAGCACACAGCTGCAGGGGCAAGAGGGAACGGCCCTACCCCCACTTGACAGGCTGATCTTCAAACCCTGCTGGTAGGCAGAGGGTCAAGAGGCYACAAGGGACTGGACAGGGTCTAGAAGGACCCCAGGCCCTCTGGCCAACGGACCAAGGACTTGGAATCAGCAACTAAAGACAATTCATGTGCTCTGAGCATCCCGGACTCCAGGCCCGGCGCCGTCCCAGGCAGAGACAGTGCTGCTCCAACTGGGCAGATGCTCAACCAGGGCCTGAGCCTCCACTGCCCCCAAATGACTACAAGGCGGTGGAGACTGCACAGGGACCAGGACCTCAGGACCTGGAGGGGCTGCCAGTGCTCCAGGAACATGCCTGCCATCCCCCAGGTCCCTGGCTGGGGCAATGCTGGCCCCGCAGTTACCTGGSCCCTTGCCCGAGGCCTCCAGCTTTCGGAGTTTGGAGATCTCATCCTCGGTGATGATGGTCATGTCCCGCCAGAAGTCCGCGTTCTTGCCCTGCTCCAGCTCCATGTACACCTGGCGGGGGGAGCCCCTCAGTGGCCGCGTCATTCCAGGGACCCTCCAGCCCCCACGGCCGTGACAGCCCTCTGCCTCTGCCACTGCCAGCGGGGGACACGGCTGCGCACCCAGCGCCACGGCAGCATCCGGCCAGCAGCGGGTTTGGAAGTAGTTCCTGGATAAGGTCCCACAGGGACCTGGGGAGCAGGGGCCAGCGTGTCCTGAGGGAGGGTGTGGGGCCCGCGCACCTGGATGTCCTCCAGCAGGTCCTCCATGTCGGCCACCGTGAGGCCGTTGAGGAAGGTGTAGGGCTCGTGCATCTCCACGGCCAGGTCGTCGTCCTCGGCGCTGATGTACTTGGCCAGCAGGTCGATGGGCTTCGCCCGCCCGTCCCGGATTCGGATCTTGGAGCTGGTGGGGACGGTGGGGTCAGTCAGAAGCAGCACAGCCTCCTTCCTGACCCCGGGAGAGCTTCCCGCAGGAGGCGGTGAGGGAGCAGCCAGGAGGCAGAGGCTGGCCTGTGCCCTGAGGAGCAGGCAGGATGGGGGTGGCTCTGAGGGCCTCCTGGGCTGCMCTGGGCCTGGCTGGTGAGAGGTCTGCAGCAAGAGCCGCAGAGGCCCTGAAGCAAAGGCAAGTCAGGGCCAGGGGGCAGTGGCCACCACCTCCCCCTGGGCTTCAGCTCTGCCCCCACAGGGACATGTTCGAGGAGCTGWCCTTGGCCTAGCCCCATCTGAGGGGGGGAAGAGGTGAGGTCACCAGGAGCAAGCCCCTTGCTGAGGCCTGTGTGGCCAATGGCCAGCACGGCAGGGAGGGGGCCAGGCCTGGGGCTCAGACACACTGTGTGTGGCCCTGGGCGGCCAGAGCCCCGTTTCCTTGTCTGTGAGGCAGATGAGGGACGGCCCAGTGCGTTCGTGTGGGAACAGGCGTGGCCGGGACGGCACCTACCGCAGCTTGGCCTGCTGCAGGTGGAAGTGGTCCTCCTGCTCCTCCCAGGTCTTGAAGTGCTCCGCCTCCTTCTCCCGCTGCAGCAGCTCCAGCTCCTGCTCCCGCAGGGCCTTCTCCCGCTCCCGCTCCAGCCGCAGCTGCTTCACCTGGAGGCCGCAGGCCAGAGGGAGAGGCCGCGGTGGGTGGCCATGCCAGGGGCCCCGTTGCCCTCTCAGGTTTGGTCCTGGCCCCCCTGCCCTGAACACAGGGATGGCTCCAGAGAGACCCTGGGCCAAGAGGTCCCCTTCCTGCTGAACACCCAGCAGCTGGGAGTGACCAGGGACACCTCAAAGGAGCACCTGGACCCTGCTGCGTGAAGTCCAGCCCCCGGACTTCACACATAAACTAATCAAGCTGGCCTGTCCACACAGGTGAGCCGGCCTCCGGGGCCCTCGTGGGGCCAGCCCCAAGCCCGTACCTTCTGCAGCTCCAGCCGATTGTCCTCCTGGATCCTCTTGTTCCGCTCCTTCAGCTCCTTCTCCTCCAGATGGCTGATCCCCTTCTTCTCCAGAGCCTGGAGAACAGCCACACCACTGAGCACAGACACCACCTGCCCCTGCCCGTCAGCGTTCCCCACGGGCAGCCCTCTGTGATATCACCAACCAGCAGAAGCACCTGCTCTGCAGAGGAGAGTGCACGGCCAGGGCGGTGCATCCACTGATGCCACTGTGCGCCCAAAGCCAACCCAGTACCACATGGCACACAGGACCAGTGCCACCAGCAGCAGCAGCAGCTCGTCCACTGAGCTGCAGACCAAGGGTGCTGAACTGACCCCCGCCCCCACAAGAGGCCTGCAAGCAGCTCTCAGGGCAGGCAGCCTCGGCCCGACTCAGGTAACGTGGAGTCAACTGCAGAGGTCCGTGGAGGCCAGGACTCGGTGCACCAGGATTCCTGACCACATGTGGCAAGGTCAGAAGCAGTGACACAGGGACCAAGGACCCTTGGATTGCGACCTTGCAGGGGTCACCAAGGGGAGAAAGCAAATGGTTCCCCCAACTCAAACCCAAAGGGGCACAGGGCACGTAGAGGATATGGTTCTCTCCTGCGCGTCTCTCTCACTTGATGGAGGCGTGGGGATGCAGACTCAGCATCTAATCAGCTCTGTCCCCGTGGCCCCAAACTCTCTAGTATCATCTAACAGTCACGACTGTCCAAACCCCAGGGTCCCAACACCAAGAGAGGGTGCTCAAGATCCCCCCTGGCACCCAGAAAAACACACTTCTAGACGCCCTGGGGCGGCCTGGCTCAAGAGCCCCCTCAGTGGCACGCCATTCCAGGGACTCTCCGGCCCGGTGGCAGTGAAAGCCCTGTCTCCACAGTAGCCATCGGAGAACACGGCTGCGCACCTAGCACCAGGGGCAGCATCTGGCCGGCAGCCGGTTTGGGAGCAGTTTCTTGACAAGGGCCCACATGGACCGGGGGAGCCAGAGGCCAGCATGTCCCCTCTGGAAAGGGAATATGTCAGCTGGGATCTGAAGGACAGTAAGGGACAGCACGGAACGTGACAGGGCACTGGTGGGGGAACAGTGGTGCCAGGCGGCTGAGGTGCATCCTGTACCATGTCCCTGCACTGGCGGGAGCTGCTCTGGGTTCAGTCCACACCCTACACTGGGCCCGTGGGCTTGCCTCATGCAGAAGACGTGCAGGTGCGGGAGCTGAGACAAGGTCACCTGGTGTGGCTAGGCTTCTGGTGACTGTGTCCTCCCAGGAGAGAAGCTCAGGACAGAGACACGAAAAGAAGGTCAAGTGAAGACACAGGTATGGGGATGTCGTGTGACAAGTGAGGACAAGCCAAGGGCCACCAAGGGTCTGCCAGTGAGCACGTGAAGCCAGAAGGACAGGGAGGAACCTCGCGAGAGCCACCTCTGGCCTACAGCACGGCGAGAAAGCACACTGAGGTGTCAGCCTCATGGCCAGGGAACGAAATGACAAGCCACAGCACCTGCAGCCATGGAACATGCCTGCACAGTCCCCGTGGCGGGAGCTGGGGTGCATGGTGCACGTGTGTGCCGTACTCTCCAGGCTGAGGCGTGCTTGGCGCTCAAGGCCCTGGGCTCCACCCCAGCACCAGGACATTTTAAAACAGTGTCACTGGGGCTGGGTGGAGCTCGGTGGTTCAGCAAGGCCCAGCCTGTGCTGCCACCTGCTGGGTTCAATCCTAAGCACCAAAAAAAACGAGTGAAACCATCCATGCAGCCTATCACAGCTCTGCCCAGCCGAGGAGGACCAGGGCCTGCAGGGCGGCCGCCGCTCACCTTGTTCCAGATGAAGGTGCCCAGCAGGTTGTTGTCGCCAAAGGGGTTGTCGGTGTTGGTGTAGCCCATGTACTCCTCGCCCCAGCCCATCTTCTCACGCTTCTTGCGCTCTTTGGCCTCCTTCTTGGCCAGCCGCCGCGCGCGCTTCTCCTCGGGGGTCTCGAAGGCCTTCAGCAGCTCCTCCTGCTGCTTCCGCTCCTCCCGTAGCCGCAGCCGCTCCTGCAGGCTCTGCTGCTGGCTCAGAGCTGCAGCCATYGCCCCAGGACTCTGGGGGCGCCCTGGGGACGCTGCGCTGGATGCTAAGGAGCAGGGGGACCAAGAGCGCCGGTGCCCATGGTGGGCCCATGGGCCCTGCGGCTGCTCCTCCCCAGAGTCAGACTGCGAGGACCGGTCCCGAGAGCACCATCGGGGTGCAGCAGGGCTCCGGCTTCGCCTCCCTGGGCGCTGCCACCGTTCTTCCTCCGATTCCGACCTAGGGAGAGCGCAGTCAAGGCCCGCTTAGTGCCCGCTGCTCATGTCTGCTGGGAGCATGCCGCTGCCAGGCACTGTCCCCAGTTCTGGAGACACAACAGTGAACCAAACACTGACAGGACTTCCTTCTTGGGCTGGCTACCCAGGGTCCYGCCCCCAAACCACACTCCCCAGCTCGTTTAATACACATGATGAGAACCGCAAGAGCAGTGATTGAGGGGACTACAGGTTAGACAGGTCAGGGGCCTCTGAAGTGGTGCCACGTAGCAGAGGCCTCCAGGAAGTGGGGAGGGAGCTAAGGGGACATGTGGAGGAAGAGTATTCCGACAGGAGGAAGAACAGAGGCAAAGTCCCCGAGGAAGAAATACACCTGGCATTTCAAAGATCGGCAAGGAGGCCCTGCCCTCTGCCAGGAGGCCAGGGAGGCTGAGGGGGGCGGGTGCAGGGAGAGTGGGGGTTGGCTGGGCTGCAAGGGTGTGAACCAGAGAACCCAAGTCGGCCACAGTATCCATGGCAGGCCTGCCCAGTGGAAGCCACGTTTAGACTRATCTAAAGGATGGCAGGAGTCAACCACGGGGTCCCAGGGTGGTTTCTTTAATGTCCTGGGTCTTTGAAGGCAGGGAACCACCACTAAGCACTTTTTTTTGTGAAAGKCTTTACCTATTCAGCTCTTGTCAAAAACCCAAACTTTGAAAACCAACCATCTTGGGGGCTTCGAATATCGACTACAAACTCGATCATGTTATCTCATCGTGAACGACATCGACTCTAACAGCCAACCACCGAAAGTGACTCAAACACCAGACCACAGTACAAGAAAAAGACCGAGTTGTAACAACAAGGCTGACCACTGTGCTTGAGCCAATGCTAAGTTGAAGCTCATTTAAACCAGGGTCTTACTTAAGCCCTGGGGCTTCAACCTGACTCAGAAACTTCGGTGCAAGGAACAGGATGGTAAATATCTCGTTTCGACTGCCACACAGACTACCACACAGCACCCCGCGGCCGCGTCTCCCCACACGCAGGTGTGAACGTCCCGTGAGCCTCACAGGTCAGGGATACACAGCTGCTGCTCTTGTGTACAGACTACCTCTGCCGACCTCCAGGTCAGCTCTTCCTTTACACTGTGACTTGGATCTTCCTGGAAATCCTGGGTGGGGGAAGGCGGAAAACAGCTGGAGAAGCCCCGTGGAGACCTCCAGGGCACAGATGGGCAGGACTGGCCCCAGCATCACAATCACCTAGAGCTGGGCCAGCCCTTCTTCTTTGTGCCAGGTGCACTCAGGGCAGTCTGGTCAAGCGCCCATCTCCAGAAGAAAAGGACTGAGGGCCCGGGGAAGCTGAGGCCTCGGCCCCGGAGTCCACGCGGTTTTTCCCTCTCACGCCCCCTCACTGGTAAGGGTCGTGGCCTCTGCGTCTCCAGTCCCTCCGGACTCCACGCACTTTCCCACTAGGCCTCCCTCAGGGCAGCCATCTTCCAGGGACGACTGGACCACCCACCCTGGTGCCACTCCAGCCACGCCCCTCAGTCCCTGCCCGCGAGTCAGAGGTGACTGTCACTCCCCTACTCCAGACGCCCCCCGGCTCCCGTTTCCCACAGCGACCAGCTTCCCGCCCGCGGGCGCTGCGCGGCGCGGCCTCCTGCCAGCACGCAGCCCCTCCCGCGGGAAGCCCGCCGACACCTCGGGGTCTCCCAGCTCCCGGAGCCCAGCCCGCGGCCGTCCCACCTGCGCTCCCGGCTTCGCCGTCTYCGCCTGCGCCGTCGCTCGTCCTCCCGGCGCCGCCGGCGCCGCCGCCCATGGCTCCTACTCCGACTTCGGCTCCGACTCCGGCTCTGGCTCCGCGGCCTTCGGCCCCTGCGCCCCACGGATCGCGAGCGCGAGCGTGTGTCTCGACCCATCGGCGGTGGCGGCGGCGCAGACGCAAACAACCGGGCCTGCGTCGGGGCCTTCCTCGGCCGCGTCGCGGGCGGGGCTGCCCGGATTATGCCTGAGCTTAGAAAACAAGCCCTTCCGGCCTCTCCAGCCAGCCAGAACCCCAGGCTCCAGAGCCTCTCATCCGTCCGCGAATGTGGTCTGCGTGACGGACTCGGATTGGACCGTTGTCCCCAGAGCGGGAGCACTCTTCCTTCAGGCAGTACTGGAGACAGCCCTAGGCGGGTCCTCACGCCTTGGGAGAAGGGGGATCTGTGGGCGGGGCCAAGGCGAACCCGGAACCCGGGGTGGAGGGGATCTAAGGAAGAAGCGGAGCCGGGTGGGCGGAGTGTAGAGGCGGGCCTGGTGGGGTCGAGGCCAGCGCGAGGCCAGCGCGAGGCCAGGGGCAGAGGCGAGGCCCAGAGCGAGGTTTTGGGAAGGCGGGAACAGGGAAGAGGGGCCCTTGGAGTCCGGCTTGCTCCAGAGGGGGCGGAGGCAGCGGATCTGCCCCTGAGCTCCACCGCCTGGAGCACCTTCCCTGCCCCGTGAGGTCGCGCGGATGCCGGGAGGGGAGCTCAGGACTAGCTCGTAGGTGGAGTTCCCTGGGCCTTGGGGAGTGCAGGCGGGGAGGGGGCAGGTCTGGAGGCCCCAGCTCCCTGCAGTCTGCCTATAACCAGCCGCGGTGCCTGTTTGGAGGGCAGTATTTTTTTTTTTTAAGTTGTCAATGGACACGTGGTGCTGAGAATGGAACCCAGTGCCTCACACATGCTAAACAAGTGCCCTGCCACTGAGCCCCAGCCTCAGCCCCTTTAAGCTAACTGTTCTAAATGCCTCTCTCAAAATACAACTCCTGTCCCTAAGTCTGGCTGGGCACAAATAACCTGGAGGTCACGAGCCCCTTGTAGATTCAAGCAGGAAAGAACTTTATTCTAGAACTCACGCAAACTCCACCGGAACTCTACAGGAACCCCAGGAACTCTACAGGAACCCCGGGAACTCAACAGGAACTCCGTGAGAACTCAAAAGTAGCGGGCACCTGAGGTAGCAGGAGCTGCCTTATTGCCGGACAGCAGAGGTTTATATACACAACTGAATACACAGCTTGTTTCAATTTAGCATCATCCAGTTACAGCAMTCAGTCATCACCCCAATAATTATACCCAGCTCAACTCAACCATCATCATCTTAATGGCTCGCTGGCGCTACCCCTCCACCACTCCTTCTGGCAAAATGCCAGGCACCATCTTGACTTGGTTGTGGCTCTCAACACCCCCTTTTGTTTTTAAACAACAAGTATGTGGCTTAGGGACCGTGCCTGCCTTAGGTTGTCCAATACTACATATGGTCCTTACCCGTCATCGGATGAGCTGACCTCAAGGCGTCAGCCTCCTGTCCTAGGTTGGTACCATTGCAATTGGATCTTACCCATCATTGACTACCGGCCCAGCATTATTTAGCCATACTTGTGGATAACCTGCTACAAGCAGAAAGGGGAGGACCCAAAATGCCATGTCACCAAGCCAATTGACGGCCCCTTTTGGAAAAATTGTACCAATGATGACACCATGAGCAAAGATACCCCGGCACTACCACAATTCGCTGCACCAACAGGTGTGAGTTCACAATGCATACAAGTGACACATAGTCCAGGCAAGTTCTACAAGCAGGTCAAAGCAGAGGAATCCATTAATATGTCCATTTCCTCCCAAAGAAAATTGACTCCTTGATTGAGCATCACTTGTTGAGTTACTATTCATTGATACATCAGTTTATACGGTTTGTTGTGATAGCTATCGCAGAAGCTGTAGATTGATTTTATCTTTGTCTTTACCGGCACTGGGATGAAGATAGGAATTCTGGCAATGATGGCTAAAAAAAAATTAAGTAACATTCCAGCAGGCACTAAAAAAAAGCAATTTTCTAAACAATTTAGTGTCCTGAATAGAATTAGATATAATGAAAAGGAAAGGTGAAAGTAAACAAACAGATCTGTTAACCTCCTTTTAAAACAATCCTCAACAGCTGTTTACCTAATTTAAATTAAACCGGGTAAATCACGTGAATAAAAAAAATATTTGGATCCATTTTTTCATGAGCGCTCCTCATCTGTGATCTATGGACATACGAACATACAGACATACAATACAAAACACAGTGTGCACACATAACACAATACATACAACACATAACATAATAGTAAAGGCCTTGTAGCTTTTCACAGGTGAAATCCCCATTGCAATGCTCAAAAACTCCACAGTCAAAAAGTAGAACTAATCAGAAAAACTTTACCCCAGGTGTGTATGAGCTCAAAAACAAAATAGAACTTCATGATGTGGGAAAAGGCAATAATAAAATAGATACTGAAAAAAGCATCCTGGTTACCACCTGGGTTTGACTCTTCTTTTGATATCCCATCCTTCTTCCTGTAACTTGCCTATGGGTCTGAAGGTATTCCCACAAGCAAGCCCCAAGGTTTTTTACATTTGAAATACGCCTTAATGGTGTTCATTATTCATTAGCCTCCAGGTGTGGGAGAACCACTGTCGCAGATGTAAGGATAGCCAAACTGGAGCTCTGGATATCAGCTGTTATGGATTTGAGTCAAATCACCTTCTTTTTGGTCTGTAGAAATTGCTTTAGTTAGTCTCTCTGGAATCCAAATCGGCTGCTGTTCTCCCTGTGGAAACACACAAACAGA